CACCCTTCCTCTCTGTAAAAAAACCAATAAAACATATTTTTAAAAAATTCACCACTTTTGGAATATATGTTGGAATATCCAGTTTTGACAGAGATATATAGTTGTATGACCACCGGCACAATCAAGATTTAGAACAATTCCATCAACCTCCAAAATCCCCCTGCCTTGAACCTGGTCTGGTGGCTCGGTTGGTTGGCACATCACCCCATACATCAGAAGGTTGTAGGTTCAATTCCTGGTCAGGCACATACCTAGGTTGTGGGTTCAATCCCTGGTTGGGGTGCATATGGGAGGCAACCAATCAATATTTCTCTCTCACGTCAATGTTTCTTTCTCTCTTCTTTCCTCTCTCCCTAAAAACCAATAAAAACATATCCTTGGGTGAGGATTAAAAAACCCCACACAAAACAATCCATGTTCTTTGTGATCAACTCCACTCCCTAATCCCAATCCCTGGTAATCATTATTCCTATGTCCAGACAGTATGTCAATGAAACCATACAGCATCTAGCCATTTAATCTGGCTTCCGTCATTTAACATAATACATTTGAGATTCATCCATGTTGTTGCATGAATTAGTTATTAATTCCTATTTACAGATAGATGTTAGTATTCCGATGTATGGACAAATCAGTTATTTTTATTCATTCATCAGTTTAGGGACACTGAATTGTTTCCTGCTTCTGGCAATTATAAATAGAAATTCTATAATAGTTTACAAGGAAGTTTGTGTGTACACATAAGTTTTCATTTTTCTTGAGAAAATAGCTAGGAGTGCGATTGCTGGGTCATATAGAAAACACATGCTTAAATTTTATTTAAAACAAACAAACAAAAACTTGCCAAACTATATTCCAAAATGGCAACACGTCTGTACATCCCTATAAGCAGTGTATGATAATATACTAATTTTAAATAACCAGTCTGAGGTGATAAGGACTCTTTCTGAGTCACTGAAAAATTGAGAAAATATTTATAACATTCAAGTATTACCCAACTATAAAGTTTTGCCACTGGTCACAAAATAATTCCAACATTTTAAAAATAAAAATCCCAATCAAAAGCAATCCTATAGAAAATAAGCCATGCCTAGGTAACAAAAGAGAACTTCAAGAAAGAAAAACATGTATTTTTTATAGTTAAGTAACAAAGTTCAAGTAGTTCGCCACAGAAGAAGAAAGCCAAATAGAAGAGAAGCTGAAATGCTGCAGAACCACTGATTTCATTCATCTTACATCTCAAGAAAGGCCCGGTCACCTACATGTCAGAGATGCTGCGGCTGCCTCGGGCGTTTCAGGGCACTCCAAGAGAGAGATGTCGTCTGCCCCTTTGGGCACAGTGCACTGTTCGTGACTGGGGAGCCCAGGGCCAAGTGAGGCTTCTGCCAAAGAAGGAAAATCTGTGGAAATGGCACTTAGACAAGAGTTAAGGCAGGCAGAGACCAGGAAGTATTTCGGAAGGAATCAGATTTGTTAGCTCACTATTACCCATGCATTAAACAAGAAGAGGTAAAAGAAAAAAAAAAAAAGGAAGAGAAAGAGATATCAAGCAAAGTTTGAATAGCAATTATACCTTTTCTTCTAATACTTCCAAATTTTCTTATTTCACTTATATTGTGATATAATGTAATAAATTTCCTTTTTTGAAATAAATGATATCATTAATATCATCTTGGGTAAAAGTTAGGTAAAATCATTACTAGGTATCTAACGATAATACTTTTAATTAGAGAGGAGAGGAGAATTTTTTTGTGTAAGATGTGTCAAAATTCCAACTCCTAAATATCATCTAAATATAAAAGATTTAGGAATATTTGGGTGCTTCTGAGTTTTCCCTATATTTGTGAACATGAATTGTAAAAACTAGGTAAGGTTATATTAAGCAATTTTCATACCTATCAAATTATCCTACTGGCATAATAATATTCTATTTTTGATTATACATCATTAGCTCATCATATTCATTTATATTTCACTTTAAATTAAGTCTAAGGATAAAGAAATTTTATCATACTCATTTTTATAATAGCTACTAATAAGTAGCTTTTATTAAAAAATATTAGGAAACAGAATCAGCTTGAATTATTTTATTTTTACCTGAATTTCATTTATTGGGAATCTGAAATGAGAACATATAATAAAAATATTTCATAATAACAAGTTTTTACCATTAGATTTGAACACTTTGCATGTTAAATTCATACTTAGGACAGTTGCATGAAGAATGGTGTTTTATCAACAATAAAGAGTAAAAAAATTTTTTTAAAGAAAAGAATGAACTATGTTTTAACTGAAAATAGATGACCAATTGAATTACAAAAAGAATGGTGCTTTACATCTTCATGTAAGTTTTCTTCTGAACACACCAAGATATGTCATTATTTTTGGAAAGGAGATTAATAACTTATAACCTGACATTACATAGGAAAAATCAGGAGACCTTGTAGGGAACTGACTCAAGGAACCAGACCTAAAATTTTGAGTGTGCTTATTTCATGCCCTAACCCCAGGGAAAAATATTTTCATTTCATAAGATAAAATCTGGGAAAAGGAGGCAAAGCATCTGTATCCCTTTCATATACAGAACATTATACCCGATTCATTCCTCAATTGTCATAAAAGATCCTTCACCTTAATTCCATGATATGGAGTAAAGGTGAATACACACCTGGGCTGGGCAGCCCCTCAGGAGAGCCTGCTTCTGAAACACTGTCCGTAGGAACTGCAGGCACTGACCGCAGGGCTAGAACACAGAAGCAGCACAAATTGGAAACAAGTCACACTCACAAAAGAAACAATTCCTTAGAAGCTTACTTTTATATAATTCCGAAAGAGACAGCCATTTTACTAACCTACTTAGATTTCCATTCCTACATGTAGTCAGTCCTGAATGGCTGCATCTTTCTGAACAGATTTACAAATCGTCACATACTCATTAGGATCATGGAGCTGCACAATCCTTTCATTTCATTTTGTCATGTTGCGGATTTTTAAAAGGTAGTTAAGTGAGAATAATTAGGGGCTAAGTGTTATTATTAAACTTAACTAAAAGCCTAAGTTTAACTATTATTGTTAATAAAAAGACTTGATTTATAACATATCATTTCTACTGTCTATATTAAACAAAACACAATACAAATGTAATGTTAATGGGAAAAGTAACATTACCAGCCACGTGGCTTTCATCACTTTGATGCAGGGGTATTTGGGAGGGTGGGGAAGGTGCCTTTCGCTTTGTCCTTTTCAAAGATGAGTTCCCAATGGATGTGCTACTGAGCTTCAGAGAGCCTGTCCTCACTATGTCTGCTCCACAGGAACTCTATGGGAAACAAAATGACCAAGCACAATTTCTATTTGGAAATTAATTGCAAACTTTAGGAAGACACTGACTTGACCTCAAACACATCATATGACAATATGGAACATAAAAGTCACTCATTCAAAAAATGTAAATGGAGTGTCCGCCATGTGCCAGGAGCTGGGCTATGAGATGGATATGTAAAGAAAAATAGAATATGGGCCTTCTCAAGAAAATTTAGGCGAAGGAAGGAAGAATTGAATTGCAAACAAAGAATCATAGTGTAGAGGTCCTGGATGATGCAGTAAAAAACTAACTTTCCAAAGAAGAAACCTGGAGAAAATGTTGGGACTAAAAAAAAAGACCTAAGAAAGAGACAGGATATTTTGTATTATTAGGCGAGCTTGGCTCGATTAATATTTCTCTTTTTAGCATGAATGTATCAATGACAAACATTTCAAAAATCTATATGTCTAGCCTATGCAAGGTCATTTGAGGTCACAACTCTATGCACAGCTAATGCTCACGCTCATGTGATTGTCAGCAGACCCTACGACAATCCTGCCTCATCAGGCTGGCCAGAGCCATGTCCCCTTGCTTTCTCTTTCTACTTAAAAGAGTTATTCATAGTTTTTGTATCCCATTTCTTACCTCCCGCTTGAACCTTTCCAATCAGATTACCCCAACCTTTGATCCATTAAAACTGTTTCTATCAAATTCCTTAATGACCTTCACTACAACTAAATCAGTGGTTACTTTCTAGACTAATTTGTTTGACCTGTTAGCAGCATTAAACAGAGTTGACCACTTTCTTAGAATCCTTTCTCTTATACTTCCTGTTTACCACATTTCTCATTCTCACAGATCTGAACTCTGTTTTCTTTGTTGGTTGCTTTTCATCTCAATTCTTGGACACGAATATTCTCTTCAGTATCTGTGCTCACTCTCTTGGTAATCTTCTCTGTCCCCTCAGTTTATTTATATATATATATATATATGGATAAGTTCCAATTTTAGGCCTCCATCCTGGGCCTCTATCTCATCTCCACTTAATATCTAAGACCATTTCAAACTTGGCAGGTCTGAAAATGAGATTCTGATAACCCCTCCTCTACCCTCTTCTATCAAAACTAACCCTGCCCTCATAGTTTTCTCTGTTTCAATCAAGAGCAGGTCATTCTTCCATTTGTTCAGGCCAGTGACTTTGGAGTCACCCTCATCTCCTCTCTCTCACACTTCACATTCATAACATCCTATTGCCTCACCCAGCTCCATGGCTACACATAGCCCAAATTGTCATCAACAACCTGCTAATTGGACTCTGCTGCCACATTGCTTTCTTATAGTACTTTCTCAACATAGCAGCAAAAGGATCCTGTTAAAACATAAGCCAGATTAGGTCACTTTGTTCAAAACCTCCTAATAGTTTCCCAATTGACAAAAAATAGCCAAAGTCCTTGTAATGACTTCTAAGGCAATTGACCGCCCGGCCCCTAGCTCCCTCTAATCACCTCCTATTATGTAGTCTCACTCCAGGCAGCTCCTCAGATGTGCCAGAGTGCTCCTGCCTCAGGATGGTTGCATTTGCTGCTCTCTGTGCCTAGAATAATACTCTTCTAATAACGTAATGTCTTACTCCCTCATTTTCTTCAGGTCATTTCTCAAATGCCACCTTTTCAATGAGTTCCTCATTGACCCCCCCTTCACTTCCTGTCCCTCTTCCCAGATTGATCTTTATGAATAGCATTTAATAGTTTTCTAACATTCCATGTACTTGGCTTATTTACCTTGTTTATCGTCTGCTTCTGCTACGGTTGACCATAAGGGCCAAGATGTTTTTCCTTCCTATTTTGCTCATTGCTTTATCTCCAGAACATTGTCTGGCTCATAGAAGTTTCTCAATAAATATTTGTTGAATGGATGTCATCATGAATGAAATACTGCCCTCTTCACTTGTAAATAAAAGGACTTGATATACTTGGACTTGGAAAATACTTAAAGCTTGGGTCTTTTCGATATTTATGAGACAATGCAAAAACTAGTATACCTAAGAGGAGAAAACTAGTTCATAGGAATTTTTTTTTCAGTTGTTATGCCTTGCTTCACACCGAGAAAAATGTAGCAAATTTTTGTATGTTGTAATATTGTAATATTTCTGCCAGAGAAAAAAAGGAAGCCTGACCCCAAAGAGAAAAATGTGAGTTAGTTGTCATCACTGCCAACTGTGTTAGGTCATCTCACAGGAGAAGAAGCAGAGTTAGATCCAGCAGCAGGCACTTGATGGAACACAACTCTTAGGAAGGTTAGCTCCTCTTAACAAAAGAGGTAGAACAGGGTGGCTCTGGGCTGACCTAGAGTCCAACCATTAAAATCCTTCCATACCAAGTGATAAACAGCTGGAGCCACCACTCTCCTCTCCCCTCATTACTCTGGTCCCTGCTCCAGAACTCTTCAGACCTCTCCATAATAAAACAAGAAAAGACTTGAAGCCTCCCACCCAGATTTTGATTCAGAGTCACTAAAGCTAATTCTGATTAAATCTGAGGTTCACCTCCATTTCCAGTGGGCATGGAGTAGAGCCTCAAATACTACTTGGGCTTTTAAAACAATTAGGAGAACGACCCTCGGCAATATACTAGCTGAGAAAAAAGTGTAATGATGGATGGGCAGTATTTAAATATCATCTTAAGTAGAATATTACGTTTAAATAAAAACGTAATATTCTTACTGATATGTCTCTGTGTTCCACAACTTTCACCTGCTATTTATAAAAGTAACAAATTTAGCAATCATTTGAGAAAAGGACAAAAATACTCCAAAAACAATGTGCACGTCACTTTTTAAAGTATGTGATCTAAACATCAAAGGCAGTAGATGTCATTTTCTTTCTTGATGCATTTACTAATGTAAAACCCCATTAAGCCGTGCCATTCCTATCACAGAAGCTTATCAGAAACAACAGAGTAGGTGAGCCATAAATAATTGCTGATTGCATGCAGTAATGGCAGAATTTGATTTGCTTCCCAGCTCTTTGCTGAAAACTTGTTTTCCATGTTTTGACTGATTACTTTCATGAGTTCTATGCTGAAAACTGGTTTTCCCCTTTAGGTCAGATTCCCAATTACTGTCATTTATTGGTCTTTTCTATTACCTGATAAAAGCAGTCACAACATGAATTTCTCAGACAATTGTATCTGTTTGGAAATTAGAGTGCTTAAATTTGGGTTATAACATAATAAAGCAGACAGCATAGAAATAAAAAAAAAGACACTTACTGGGTGTACTGGTTAATAGTGCGTATTTTTTTTCAATAGATGGAGTTACACATATGTTGATATATATGCGATTTGATATGTATGCTGTTTTGTTGTATTGAAAACAAGCTTCAAAACTTTTATGTCAAATTTCCTGAAGGTGTTAACATCATAGATATTTTTATACTTAAAAATGTCAAATTTCATGCCAAAAAAAAGAGCAATAATTTATTTTAAAGAAAAGTGCTGCTGAAAGTTATCGTATACTTCAGGAAGCTTATGGTGAACATGCTCCATCTCAAGATACTTGTAAACACTGGTTTAAACGCTTTAAAGGTGATGATTTCGATGTGAAAGACAAAGAACGTCCAGGTCAGCTAAAAAAGTTTGAAGCCAACAATTACAAGCATTATTGGATGAAGAGGCATGTCAAACTCAAAAACAACTTGCAGAAAGATTAAACGTTGCTCCGCAAACAAATTCTGGTTATTGACAAGCAATGGGAAAGATTTTAAAGGAAGGAAAATGGGTGCCACATCAACTGAATGAAGGACAAATGGAAAAACAAAAGTCATCAGTAAAATGTTGTTTCGGCAGCACGAAAGAAAGTCTTTTTTGCATCGAATTGTGACTGGTGATGAAAAGTGGATTTATTTTGAGAATCCCAAACACACAAAATCATGGTTTGATCCAGGTCAACCATCAACATTGACTGTAAGGCCAAATTGCTTCGGAAAGAAGACAATGCTCTGCGTTTGGTGGGATCAGGAAGGTGATCTAAAACCAGGTGAAACCGTTAATACTGATAGCTACCGACAACAAATAATCAATTTGAACCATGCTTTGATACTGAAATGACCAGAATGGGCCAGAAGACACGGCAAAGTAATTTTGCTTCATGATGACGCACCACCACACACTTCAAAACCAGTTAAAGACATGTTAAAAGATCTTGCCTGGGAAGTATTAACCCACCCGCTGTATTCACTAGACCTTGCTCCTTCAGATGACCACTTGTTCGGATTGATGGCACAGGCGCTTTCTGAGCAGCACTTCAAAACGTACAAAGAAGTGGAAAATTGGGTCTCTGAATGGTTTGCCTCAAAACAAGAAAAGTTCTGTTGGGACGGTATCCTCAAATTACCTGAAAGATGGGGGAAATGTGTAGCTAGTGATGGACATTACTTTGAAAAAAGCACTTTTGATGTTTCTCTTGAAATTATTGTTTCTTTGGATTACAAAATCCGCATTATTA